GACAAGCTGGCCAAGTTTGGCAAAAGAAAATTTTTGAATGGGAGATTGCTGAAAAACTTTGTAGAACCAGGAATGGTTTGATTGGTTGATGCACTAGCTGTTCAGGGCTGGAAGGACATGGTCCTTCAGATGGATGGAGGGCTAGCTAGGAATGAAATCATTGAATTCATGGCCAATGCAGAGGTCAAGGATGGCAGAGTCACCAGCCAAGTACAAGGGGTTCAAGTGACCTTCGATGCAGAAAAGCTGAGTGAGATTCTTGACATCCCTGCTGAGGGATATGATGACTACGCAAGGCAAATATGGAAAAGTTTGGAATCCCTTCCTAATGCCCTTGAAATCACCAGGAGATTTTATGATGTCCCTAAAGTGAATGAGGCCAAATTTGTGCATACGAGTGAAATGAAGCCACAACACAAAGTTCTGTTTGAATTTGTCAACAAGTACTTGCTGCGTAGGTAAGAAAGACGACACATTGCTAACTATATGGAATTGGTGTTAATGGAGTGTCTTAAAAGTGGAAGGCAGATCAACTAACCTGCATTTATTATCAAGCTACTAGACAAGGTTATAAATGGCTCCAAAGCCCATGCTACTCCTTATGGATTTATTCTGACTATTGTGCTTGATAGTTGTAACCTGGTTCATCTAGGAAGACACCTATAAACAACAAAGTTAGAGCCCTAGTGCAGGAGAGTGGAGCAAAGGATGCTGAGATAGTTAGGTTGAAGGCTCGCTTAGCGGGGGTTGAATCTGAGAGGGATGCTCTCAGAATTGAGCTCACCAAGGAAAAAGAGAAGAATGATGCCATTCTTCAAAATATGTTGACCCTTCTCCAAGCCCAAAACCAACCCTCTAGCTCTCCCAAGCCTTAGGACTCCTAGCCTTAATTTCCTGACCTTGTCTAGTACCACCAGTGGTCCAGATTAGGGATTTCTCTTTCTTTTGCTCATGTTTTGAATATTTTTGCTTTCTTTTTGTGGATTGTGGCAGAATCATATTTTCTATCAATGAATTCAACTGTTTTTGCTCTTGTTGACTGTTAATATTTCCTTGATAGTTGAATATGTTTGTTTGATTACTGATGATTAATCCATGATTGCACTTGCAGTTGCCCTAGTGACCATGGGTAATTGTTACAATTCTGGGAATCACACTTTGTTTATGCAACTTTTCGATGATGCCAAAAGGGGAAGAGATATTGTGCTTTATATATTCTGAATAAGTGATGTTTATAACCTAATGAACCTGGTCTTTGATGATAAGTAAATTTTTCTAACTTTGTATTGATGGATAAGGTGAGTTCTGACATGGCCTAAGTGAGTGAAACGCACAGAGTTTGTCATTATCAAAAAGGGGGAATTTATTGGCCCAAGTAAAGGTAAAGTTTTGAAGACTGACAAAGGAACTCAAATATGGACCGGGTCCATCTTGTGAAGCACAGTTATGATCAACTCAAACATGTGAGATGCACGTGAAGGAGATAAACCTAACTTATCAGAAGTGATATCTCCTGATCATGATCGAAAAGGTTGCATATTGGATAAAGAGAAAGACTCCTTACACAAAGAGAAACACGGCTCAAGAAATGGATAGAGTTAGAGGATGAGACAAACTAGAACTCTTCCACCAAAGAAGAGCAGTATCTGTATTCTAGTCAATCTCTTTTACTAACTCCATAAATATCAATGTTGTTCTCTTTTATAGGTAATGCACATAAGCAGAAGTTAAACGTGAATTGAGAGCAAAATAGCAAGGCAATTTTGCAAGCAATTTATGTGTGATTCAAGCGTGCAAACTTGTAGCTACTTGAACTAGATAAAAGAACCAATTCCAAGCATCTGTCTTTTTATTCTAGTTCAATTGTAGTAAGTAATTTTACATTGTACCCTTTAGCTTATTTATAAGCAATTGTATTAGGTATTTAAAGTTTTCAAGTTAGAGTTAACTTGAAATTGTCGCAACAGTTGAGGCTATGTGCCACAATAGGATTAGAGTTAATCCTAGGTTTACAAAAGAGTTTTTGTAAAAGCAGTTTTTGGCTCAGTGATTTTAGTGGAGAGTTTGGAAAAATCCTACTGGAAGGTAGGTCGTAGTTTTTTCACCTTTTGAGCCAGGTGTTTTTCACGTAAAATCTCCGTGTTCTTTATTTTCTGTATTTATTATTCCGCAACAGTACTAGTTGGAACACATAGACGAACCAGGTCCTTCTATAATCAAGTTAAGCGAAAATTGGGTACCACACAAATCACTCCCCTATTGTGTCGTATTGAAGTATAAAATATCAAGTTAAGCAAGACCAAAACAGAATATTTGGAGTGCAAATTCAGTGATGAGATTCATGAAACAGACATAGATGTGAAGCTTGATACTGAAGTTATCCCCAATAGAGGTAGTTTCAAGTATCTCAGGTCTATTGTCCAAGGTAATGGAGAGATCGACGAGGATGTCACACATCGTTTTGGAGCGGGATTGATGAAATAAAGGCTCGCATCCGATGTTCTATGTGATAAGAATGTGCCACCAAAATTTAAGGGTATATTTTACAGAGTAGTGGTCCGATCAGTTATGTTGTATGGGGCTGAATGTTGGTTAGTAAAGAACTCTCATGTGCAAAAGATGAGAGTAACTGAGATGAGGATGTTGAGATGGATGATTGTTTATACCAAGAGATATAAGATTATGAATGAAGTTATTCGGGATAAAGTGGGAGTGGCCTCCGTGAAAGACAAGATGTGGGAGTCAAGGCTGAGATATGGGCATGTTAAGAGGGGAAACATTTAATGCTCCTGTTAGAAAGTGTGAGAGACTGACTATGACGGGTTTGAAAAGAGGTCGAGGTGGGCTAAAGAAGTGCTGGGGAGAGGTGATTAGGTAGTACATGACGCTGCTCCACCTTACTGAGGACATGACCCTTGATAGGAAGGTGTGAACGTCAATGATTAGGGTAGAAAGGTAGTTAGTAGTTGATAGTTTCTCCTTTTCTTACCTATAGTATTAGTAACACTCATGTCGCTTCATATTTTTAGATTTATATTGCATCATGTTGTTTAGTTCGTTTCAGTTATCGTATTTCTCTGTTGTTATTATTTAGTACTATTTATTCTTTTCTCCTTCTTTTTCTTCTCTCTTCCTTTTCATACTTTTCCCCTCCTTCTTTCTTCTCCCTCTTTTTCTTCTTCTTCTTCCTCACACTTTCTCTGAGCCAAGGATCTATTGGAAACAACTTATCTATCTTCACTAGGTAGACATAAGGTCTGCGTACACACTATCTTCCTCAGACCCCATTTGTAAAAATATAATACTAGTTTCTTTTGTTGTTGTTGTTGTAACTTTTAAGATTAAATTGATTGATCACAAACATCCAATATTGGGTACACACCTATGTTGGATCGGTATGCGCGGATTGAATGCAACCATTGTAATAGCTACGTTAGAGAGTAACACTTCACCTATTTTCACCTACAGGCTACAGTCGAGCCAGCCAATCCTGAAGATTGAGATCGAGCTTTAGTTGATCATTGACCAAACCAAACTTTGTCCAAAATCGAGCCGCAAACTAGACAAGTTGTGACGTTAATTGAATCAAGCTAAAATGCGAGTGCCAAACAAAGCCTCCAGACATTTCAACCTCGTAAGCATAATTTTCACAAATTTAATAAGTTTTCTTGTAAAATAAGAATGAAAGTATCAACAATACTTATTTAAAACAGAAAAAATGAGTAACCACGTGATTTTATATTCAAAAGAGTTTTTCAACTTTTAAAAGTTTGTAAATGAAAGGTGCAAAATTTATTGAAAGTTAAATATGTTGTCAGATAGCACAAAGACCAAATTTGGTGTATTTCCTATTCCAAATCTGTCCATTTTTATTTTTGTGTTTCTCTTTTATACGTATCTTAAGAAACTATTAATGAGAACAAATATTTTACTATTATACCTTTATTTATTCGTCATATTTAGACTTTCTATATTATGTAATATTTTTTACATAAAAAAATAATTAATACTAAAGACAAAATAAAAAAATAATTATATTTTAATTGTCTAAAGTAATAAATATTTTAGGCCAATTATTTTTAATAATCACAATAATTAAAATGGACTTGTGAAAGTAATAATTAAGGACCAAAAGCATATGTCCGAAATTCTCCGAGAAAAAAAAAGAAAACTTACACAAATGTCTCAAATAAGTCTCAACTTACCAACCTCTAGCCATTAGTTATAGACTTACCAAAACTAGCCAAGCGCATATAAAAGTTGAAAAATCAAATAAATAAGGTTTTTTCTTTCAAAGAATCACATGCAAAAATCTCTCTCCATATTTTAAGCGTGATTAGCAACATTAGATGCAAGACGGAAATAAAGTGATGAAATTCATTGAAAACATATAGATAAGTCAATATATAAAATTTGAGGAAGATTGGAGGTGATTTGGACTGGTTTTGTATCAAAATTTGTAGTTAAATCGAGTTCAAAAAATTCTTCTGCAACACATGTATCAAACATGTATCACACATGTATCTCACACACAGATATACATGTGATACACAATTGATACAAATATGATACATATGTGATACACAAATGATACATAGTGTGATATACATATCATTTTTTCATGTTCAGTTTTTACTTAGAATTTTCAATTCAAACCATCTCAAAACTTCACCAAATCATCCCAAAACCGAGATTCAAGATCTTAAAGATGTAACCAATCTATTCTAATAACACCCACTTAAAAGAAAGTAAAAAATTTGACATTTTTTTGTTACAAATAGCTAATTGGCTAATATTATTAATATTTTATGGATTGACCAATTTTTATAATGAACTACTTATAAATGGACATATCTAATAATTTTTTTTTTTTAAAAAAAAAAAAAAGAAACAAAACTAGAATGTGCTAACTTGAAAAGACCGAGGAAAAAAATTGAAAAGACCGACATGGAAAAAAAAACATGATAAGACCAAGAGAACCCCACCATTTTCAACATATATCAATGACTACCCCCATAAAACCCTAATTCTCAAACCTCTTCAAAACTGCACTTCCTTTTAGCGGAGCCTCTCCTCCGTGCCACCCCTTCTCCGTCGTCTAATCTCAAATCCACCCAGAACCCCATTTTTGTTTCTGGCTCAAATTCAGCCAAAATGTCGATGTCGAAGAGTTCCAAAATGCTTCAATACATCAATTACCGTATGCGTGTAACAATCCAAGACGGCCGTCAATTGATCGGAAAATTCATGGCTTTCGACCGACACATGAACCTCGTGCTTGGCGACTGTGAAGAGTTCCGCAAACTTCCTCCGACAAAAGGATCCAAAGAAGAACGTGAAGACCGGCGTACACTTGGTCTCGTACTTCTCCGTGGTGAAGAGGTTATTTCAATGACTGTTGAGGGCCCACCTCCTCCTGATGAATCCCGGGTTAAGTCTACTGCTGCCGGTTCTGCTGTTCCCGGCCCGGGGCTCGGTCGGGCTGCTGGTCGTGGTGTTCCTACTGGGCCTTTAGTTCATGCTCAGCCTGGACTTGCTGGGCCTGTTCGTGGTGTTGGTGGGCCTGCTCCTGGTATGATGCAGCCTCAAATTTCCCGGCCTCCGATGCCGAATGTCTCTGCTCCCCCAATGAATTACCCGCCGCCGGTGATGAGGCCGCCTGGTGGTGGCCCACCAATGCAAATGCAGATGCAGAGACCTGGGGGTCCACCACCGCCTATGGCGCCTCCACCACAGTTCAGGCCTGGTGGTGGCCCACCACAGTTCCCGCCGCAGTTTGGTCAGCGGCCAATGGTTCCTCCGCCTCCCATGATGAGGGGCCCACCTCCACCTGGTGCTCCACCTCGACCAGGAATGCCTGGTGGTCCTCCTGGTCAACCGCCTCGCCCGGGTATGCCACCCCCGCCTCCTGGCGGTCAGGTTCCTGTTTATGGGCCTCCTCGTCCTGGTATGCCTCCACCACCTAATCAGCAGAATCAGCAGTAATATAACCGGTAAGTACTGCCAACTGACTTCAAATGTCTGTGTTTTATACTCCTTCATTATGCATAAATGTGTTTCATTATGTTTTAATTTTGTATGCTAATTTGAGTTATTATGATGTTAGTGGTAGTTGACCTTTTTTCTTAATTGAAGTAATAGTTGAAATTATAGAGAATTACATCTAAGTTTAAAATATAAAAAGCTTAATGAATCTGAGTTCTAGGAAATTACGCGAGCTGTAGATGTGACGTTATTAATGGAATAGTGTAAAAATTTAGTATCATATAAAAATGGAAGTGAAGGGAGTTGTTACGACATTTGACATGCTCAAGAAGTATGAGTTTCGTTTACTGCTGTCTAGCTTCAAACTTCAAATGTAGTTCTTTAAATCTAATCTTACGTTCAAAGTTTACAGACTCAGATGTCGGAGTAGGAATTTACTAACTCGCCTAATTTCTTTTAGGCGATGGAACTTGGGCTTACTGAAAAAATGGCTAGTATGATATACTCTATGTTGCTGTCTAGCATGAATCTTTAAGTTTAGCTCTATAATACTTATCTTAGCTCAAATTCTTGTAATTCGTTGATGAGAAATTTTGTTTCTAGAGTATATTTTGCTATTAAACTTCGAATGTTAAACACAGCTATCTCAAGGTTGAGCTAGAGTATGAGAAAAAAATTGGATGGTAGGTGCTCTTAATATTTGTTACTACTTTTATGGTTATAGCGCATAGTTCTAGCTCTAGCATCAGGTGTTATTTGATAGGGCTCTTTTTCTCTAAAGTTGATTAGAGGCTCTTTTAGTTTTCATTACCAATATCATATGAGAAAAGAATAATTTACGTGATCTGTTTAACTAGCTCTCATGTCCATGATTCTTCTGAAGGTTTTAAGAATTTCTTTGTTATCGAATTGAGAAGGAAGTACTCAAACTTTAATTCCTGTATAAAGTCATTTGAGGACATTTTCTTTTTCGGATGTGTGATTCTAGGACATATGCTGAACTACTATCCAACCGCTAATAATTAACATCTTTTGGAAAGATACTTCTTATCATTTGCTTGTTGCAGTTAGGTTTTATATGGTTTCTCTTGTGTTCAATTGTGTGGTGATCTGCAATAAGATTGGTTCTATGTCAACTGAACGGGATCTCTTCTTTGATTTGGTTTCTGTTTTATGTTAGATAGCAGGTTTGTCAGACATGAAATCATGTGCGTTGTGCATATTGTAGGCATATATATGTTGATGAGTTTGTGATATTTGATGTAGTGTGTGCCCTTTTGGAAAGACAACTAGACTAAACATTCTTTTTCAGGAGTTTCCACCTTTTAAGGTCATAGCACACGTAGTTGAACACTTGTTATACTTGTCAGGTTAGCCTTTTCTTGGATGCCCTTGGTTCTTGTTTGAAACCAGTTGTTGAACACAGAACAAGCACCATAGCTGACCTTTGGCATTAAATAATTTAGGTTCGTTTTGTTTGTGTAAAACTTTTTTTATTTTTTGTTATTGCAAAAAGTGAAGTTATTTTTTGGAAACAAGCTTGTGTGTTTCAAAATTATAACCTTTTTTCTTGTGTAGAAAGATGAAAATTTATTTTGAAGTTGAAGTGTGAAGGAGTTGTTTTTCACCAAATAAACAAACTCTTCTTCCACTCGCATTCTCAGTAATAAAAGGACTACTACTACTACAGAACACATCAACTTCCTTAAACTTTTTTTGAGAAGGAAACTTCCATAAACTTTCCTTCCAATCAAATTCATCAAAAAACTTTTTTCCAGATGTCATCCAATGGGCTTCTTAGTCCCGATTGCATTTGCTAGTAACTTGTATAATTACGTGAGAAGCTGAAATCCTTAACTATTTTTTTTATGTCCGAGAAATCCATATGAAATGTAGAACTAATGTGAGTTCTTTCCATCATTTTTCTTCTTTCTTCATCTTTTAGGTTGCTACTGGTTCCTATTTCCTATTGCACTGATGATCTTCGAGCATGGCCAAGATTTTGAGTAATTTGTGGGATATCATTTCAGAGGCTCATTTTTTCCTTTGTTATGTGTACACGACAAACTTATGGTTACTTTGTGAATTGAAAGTGTGATACTACTGCCTAGATATACAGAAAATGCGTGTGAATCATTTTTCTTGCATTACTAGGAAAAACCTCAGTTTTCTAGGAATGCTCCAGTCATTTTATCAATGAATTCTCTGGAAGAATTGTTCTCTCTTTCCCCTCCCGTTCCTTGGCTCTGTTCCTGGTCCATCTTGAATGATAACTCATTTGTATTGTTTTTCTGTGAGCAGTGTAGGGCTTACTGTAAAGGTCAACTAGTCATATCTTCTCCTGCATGCGTGAATGGTGGTGTTACAAGTATCACTGGGCTAAGGCGGTTTCTATTATGTTGAGCTGGTCAGATGATCTATCTTCATGCTGTATGCACCCAATGTTCGTCGGTGTTTGCTAGAGTCCTGTAACTTTGCGATATAGGAGATTTCAGACGGATGTAGTTAACAGTATTTTTCTTTTCTCCTTTTCTTTTGAATATTAAAACTGTGTTACTATTTTGATGTGACTGAATGAGAACTTAAGTGGTGCTAGACGGAGCTGGAATGTGCGGCTTGCATCTTTATTTCTTCCATTCCCTGGATGGCAAGAATAATTGCAGATGCTCAGTACTAGGTTATTTTTTCAATTCATTTGAAATTTTCTGCCAAATATGAATGTCGAGCTTTTAGTGTGAGGGAAAGGGGTGGATGATGCTTCAGTGAATGGGAAAGAATTTAGGGGTGGCAAACGGGCGGGTCAAAATGGGTAATTTAAAAACGGATAAATTATCTGATTCGACCCATAATTAATACGGATAAAAAAGTGGGTTATCTGGTGGATAATATGGATATATCCATGGCTTTTTGAATATGATCACTTTTGGGAGAATTCTTAATCTCTCAAACTTGAGGAACTCCCAATTTTGAGTCTTTACAAATGTAAAAGTTAACCCGTTAGTTATCCATTTTCTAGGTGGATGATATGATTTTTATCCATATTCGACCTGTTATTAAAAAGTTAAAGTTTATTATCCAACTCATTTTTTAACGGATAATATAGGTGAATAATTATTTTCGTTTAACTATTTTGTTACCTCTATGAAAGATAAAGGCGTGGCATGGAAAGGATTATATAGGCTATGAAGTCTCAAGTGGAAGAGGATTTTGTAGGTGTTTATATCTGGTGGAAGAGTATGACTTGGTAGATTATTTTGTGGCTCGGGTTTGGGGAGAAATTAGGGATCTGTGCTGGCCATAGTCAGCTGAGCTTAAGCCTACTGATACTCCTCTACTATCCCTTGTCTTTACCCCGTAAGCCCTAACCACAGTTATAGAATTTTTTTGTTATAATAGCAATTCGTCGTTCTGAGGTTGCCACAAAAGGTGGTTCCACTGTTATTTTGGTTATGTTGAGCTGCTAAAATAATTGCATACTATTCATTGCTCAAGTCATTTTTTCGTTCCACTTGTCTACGACAAATTTCTACTGACAAAGGTCGTGTTTTAATGGAAGAATAGCGGCTTACTCTGAAATGGCTTTAGTGGCAGAGGCATAAATCGCCTCGCGACTTTTCAAGGAGCTCCATTGAAATTTTTCGTTCCTTCTTGAGTTTGCGGCCATAAATATCCCTGCTATTCTGGGGTTCGCCTAACTTTACCCCTTAAATGTGAATATAAGCACCATTTGTCTTCTAGGTTTGCAAAAAAAGAGCATATATTATCCAATTACCAGAAGACACCCACAAAACTGTTAAAACTACCCTAAACTCATTTCATTTGCATTGAAATTTCAAGAAGAAAAACCAGCTTTGTATACCCCCCCCCAACAACCACCACCACCAGTGGATTCTCACTTCTTTTGGGACCCCTCCAAAAATTCCTGTTTTCATCTCGCTCATGCAAATCTCCGTAAAAGAGACAATTCTATGCAATAGAAGGTCCATCTGCTGCAATTTAGCTGAGGAACCGAATTATCTCGAGCTACTCTTCTGACTTCTCATTAGCATCCCAGCTATAGCATGTTCCTGACCTTTTCAATTATGAAATGGATGGCTCCAAGCTGCTTAAAGGAGGCATTCTGCTGCAGGTTGAGATGGAAGTTGGAGAAACAATTAAGTAAAATCCTACACTATCTCCTGATCTTATTTCTTCAACTTTTCTAAATTGACAAATTCATGAGGATTACAAGATAAACTTTCACACCTTCCGTAAGAATTAGTGAGGCAATATATTACACCCCCACCACCACCACCACACACAAAATTATCCGCCCACAATCTACTAGCATCCGAAATTCCTTAATGCAAGACGGTACCATCACAGATGAAAAGGTGAATTGGAAAAGAGAAGTTCTTGAAGGAAGATAAAAATTGACATACTCGAAGGTGAAAGAGAGTTGTGATATCGTTTATTTTTTTAAAAAAAATTACGTGTAAATCAATCAGTTCAGTGTTAGATTAAACAATGCTTGTGCTGTTCTCTATTAGTTGGACCATATGTGTCATGTTTTACGAACTTATAAAGCAAGTGGTGCTCAGGATAAAATTTGGAAAATAAAGTTAAACTCGCCCTTAAAGATAAGGCATAATTTAGGCCAAACATTCTTCCTTATCTCTGTTTTAAGGATTGAGGGGATTTATTGACTACTCAAATCTGCTTTTCTAATATATTAAAAGGAAAATAAATATTTTGAAATGACCAGGTCGCACTTGAGTCCTAATTTAAGAGACTATCAAGCTGAATGGCAAACTATCTTCAAACATTACAAATAATATCAAGCTGAAAAATCAAAGATTTCAACATGAACCTGGCGTTTAGAGAAGAATAAGGCCTGGGTCAACATGTCAAAACTACAGCAAAATTGAGAACCATTAAGAGCCGCTCAGAAAATCCTTTGCAATTTCATTGAATCAGACTCTGGATTGCCCAGAATCATAGTTTTAGACTTCATCATTGCGGGAAGAAGATACAGTGACCAGCCATTATTGGCTAATCTCCAAGAGTCCTAATTAAAAAGAGACTATCAAGCTAATGGCAAAAAATCTTAGAACATTCCAAAGTATATATCGGGCTGAAAAACCAAAGATTTCAACATGAAGCTGGCATTTAGAAAAGTGTAAGGCATGGTTTAACATTTCAAAACTAGAGGAAATATTGAGAACCATTCAGTGCCACTCAGAAAATCCTTTGCAATTTCACTGAATCAGATTCAGGATTCCCCTAAATCATAGTTTTAGGACTTAATCATTGCGGGAAGAAGATAAATATCCATTGCCTTGACCAGCCATTATTGGCAAATCTCTAGAGTCTAGACTACCTATATATCAATTGCATTTGAGTTCTAATTAAAAAGAGACTTCAAGCTGAATGGCAAACAATCTTCAAATAGTATCAAGCTGAACCACCAAATGTTTCAACATGAATCTATCGTTCAGAAAAGGACAGGTTCAACATTTCAACACTATTAAGCACCGCTCAGAAAATCCCTTGCAATTTCACTGAATCAGATTCAGGATTCCCCCAAATCATAGTTTTAGGACTTCATCATAGCGGGAAGAAGATAAACATCACTGCCTTGACCAGCCATTATTGGCAAACCTCTAGTCTAGACTACCTATATATCAATTGCATTTGAGTCCTAATTAAAAAGAGACTTTAACCTGAATGGCAAACAATCTTCGAATAGTACCAAGCTGAACCACCAAATGTTTCAAAATGAATCTATCATTTCGAAAAGGTCTGGTTCAACATTTCAACACTATTGAGTACCGCTCAGAAAATCCTTTGCAATTTCACTGAATCAGATTCAGGATTCCCCCAAATCATAGTTTTAGGACTTCATCATAGCGGGAAGAAGATATTCCTCATTGTCTTGACCAGCTATTATTGGAGAATCTCTAGAGTCTAGAGTACCTATATATCTTATACATCAGTAATATGTGTATACATTTTAATTCACATGGTACAAATGAGTTGCAAAATATAAACGTTAAGAATTTCGAACCATTTTCATTCTGAAACAACAAATTACAAAAAGCTAAGGGTTAAGTGCTTCAACATCCAAATAAAAAGAAAAATGATAAATCAAAAATTTTCAGTTAAGAAAAGATACTAAAATAAATCTTTGCTAAGCAGTTTTCTGTGCCTAAAATTTCATGAAGAGGTCTTAACATGCAACTCATTTCTTCTTTTCACCACCTCCGGCAGCCCTGGATCATAAAAGACAAAGATAAGCACTTAGTCAGACACACAATGGGTATGAGAACGCAGGGAGAGGGGAATCAAGGAAAACAATGATCGAGAATCCTAAAGTATAATATCCGAGTTGAAAATGCTGTCAATTACCTCATTTTACGGAGAACATTAGACATCTCTTCACGTTTCTTCTTTGCTCTCTTGTGAGTGCCCAGCTTCCTCTTGGCTACTTTAAGAGCACGTTTGTCCTTTCCAACTTTCAGAAGTTCAGTAATTCTCTTCTCATAAGGTGCAAAACCAGCTACTTCCCTGATAAGGCCTCTAACAAAATGTACTCTTTTGCTGATTTTCTAAACAAGAGACAAAGAGCAACAAAACTATTAGAAGTCATCTAAATGGATTTAGATATTGGAGAATCGCTTTTTCTTTTTGATCAGTTAGATATCCAGAATGTCTAACATCCAAAACATTAAAAGACAAAGAGATCAAGTATGAAAACGAACGACTTACCCCTTTCCTATCAGAAGGGCGGGGCACCAACTCTTTCTTAGTAACAACATGCCCTTTGTTAAGGCCCACAGAAAGGCCTGTATTTGGCTGCTTCGGAGCCATCCCTACAAATACACAAGGCACATTAAAAAAAAACAGGCTACTAATTGTAAGCAGCAATTATTCAACTATGATAGGCACATGATCAAGTGTCTGGGTCTGGTCATACACACTACTTTAACACTATACATGCACCAACACTCATACTTAACTAATACTATAACATATGGAGTAGAAAATGTATCAAACTAACTTTATTTCTTCCTGCAATGCTCTTTAAGTAATATAACCAAAATGGAGAACTATCCTTTTGAGTCAAACTGATTAAAAACGGAAACTTAAATCTCTATCCATTTCTTCTGTTTTATACCGAAGATTACACCTCTACTCATCAAAACAACCCTGACCTTAACAAACTAAGTAATTTCATCTCCAATAAAATCACTAAATTAGATATTCAACTGCCCTTTATGTCAAATAGCTTAACACTACAAAAATTGCATCCCTCTTCATCAAGTACTCCCTGGCCTAACTTTATATAACAAGAAAGAATAAAAGAAAACTGCAGAAGCTGAACAATCTCCTTTTCGAAAGATCACTTTGATAATATCTAAAATTATATGTCAATTCTAATATAGTAAAAGAAGCACAGAATTACTAATTAAGCAGATAATATTACACACTAACCCAATCATCTCCAATTGAAATATTGAATTACTAATTAAGCAGAATATATAAAAACAGAATTGTAAGAGAGAAAAAAACAGCAGAGGTTTTATATTTTCATTTTGATTTAGCTAGGGTTCTGACCTTTGGAAGAAAAGTTGCGGTGAGAAGAAATCTAGGGTTTTTCTGATTGCAATATATACAG